ACAATGCCCAGTTATTTTTGGTGGCAGTTGTCATTGTACTTTAGCAGGCCCAGGCCGGGCTCAAACCCGCCAGCTTCAGTATATGTGGCTGGTGCCCTCTTCACTGAGCTACAGCGCCAAGCCTGTGCTGTGAGTTTTATTCTTCAAAGGGGCATTTATGTGCTATGAATCACTGGGTCATCACAAAAGTTTAGAGATAACATAAAAATCAAGAAATGTAAAATCTGCGTGGACAGAAACAAGTTGAAATGTTCACGGGTAAATCAGAAGGGATGCTGTCCACCATGTTTCTTGGAAGTGAAATAATGGACCATAACATAGTCTGTCTCAAAACTTTTGTAGTGACCTACATAGTCCTCTTACTTACTTTCTGTTTGATAGTTTATCTTTCTCTGTTAGCCAGTTTATTTTCAAGGCCATACTTTCAAAAATGTTGTGTAATCATTACCATCATTCATCTCCACAATCTTTTCATCTTCCCAAACTATAACTCTTTACCTGTTAAACACTAACTCCCCATTACACACACACCCTAAGCTCTGGTGACCATCAGTATATTTTCTGTCTTTATGAGTTTGCCTATTCTAGTTACCTCATATAAGTAGAATCATATAATATTTGCCCTTTCGTGTTTGGTTTATTTTATTTAGCATAGCATCTTCAATTAATGGTGCTGAGTAATCTTGCTATCTATGGGCAAAAGAATGAAATTCGACCTTTGTCTCATACCAGATATAAAAATCAACTCAAAATAGATTAGGACTTAAACATAAATCCTGAAAATCTAATACTAGAAAACAAATAAAGAAAAGGTTTATTTTCTTCTTCTTCTTCTTTTTTTTTTTTTTATTGAGACAGATTCTCACTATGTTGCCCTCAGTAGAGTGCTGTGGCATCGCAGCTCACAGCAACCTCTAACTCTTGGGCTTAAGCAATTCTCTTGCCTCAGCCTCCCAGGTAGTTAGGACTATAGGTGCCCACCACAACACCCAGCTATTTTTTTGTTGCATTTGTCATTGTTGTTTTAGCAGGCCAGGGCTGGGTCCGAACCCGCCAGCCCCAGTGTATGTGGCTGGCACCCTAACCACTGAGCTATGGGCACCACGCCCAGAAAAAGTTTCTTGACACTGGCCTGGGCAATGTTTTTCTTGGACGTGCCACCAAAAGCACAGGCAACCAAAGCAAAAAGAGACAGGTGGGATTGCATCAAACTAGAAAGCTCTACACAGCAAGGGCAAACACAATCAACAATTGAGTGAAAGGGCAATTTACAGAATGGGAGAAATTATTTGCAAACCGAATATTTTCTGGTAAGGAGTTAATGCTCAAAATACATAAGAGACTCAGCTCAATAGCAAATAAACAAACAAAACAAATAACCTGATTTGAAATGGTCAAAGTATCTGAACAGACATTTCGTCAAAAGAAATATACAAATGGTCAACAGGTAAATGGGAAGGCATTCAACAGGGAAGTGTAAATCACAAACTTCAATGAGATATCATCTCACACTTGCTGGAATGGCGATAACGAAAAAGTCAAAAGGTAGCAAGTATTGGCAAGGATAGGAAACAAAGTTAACTCTTGTACAATGTTGGTCAGAATATAAATTAGTACAGCCACTATGGGAAACAGTACCTGGGTACCTCAAAAAACTAAAAATAGAACTACCATATGATGCAGCAATCCCACTTCTAGATATGGAGAATGAAATTAATATTCACTGCAGCATTATTCACAATAGCCAAGATGTGGAAATAACCTAAGTGTCCATCAGTGGAGGAATGGATAAAGAGAATGTAGCATACATACCCAGTGGAATATTATTCAGTCTTAAAAAGAAAAAAAATCCTGCTGTTTGCATGAACATGGATGACATTATGCTAAGTGAAATAAGCCAGACACAAAAGGACAAATACTGCATGATCTCACTTTTGTGGAATCTAAAAAAGTCAAAATCACAGAAGCAGAGAATGGATTGGTGGTTTTCACAGACTAGGAGGAGGGCAAAAAAGCAGAGATATGGGTGAAAGTGGACAGAGGTTAAGTTATGCAGCATGAGTACAATGTGGACACCTAATAAGTTGTACAGCATGTGACAAGTTATTAATACTGTATTTTATACTTGAAATTTGCTAAGAGAGTTGATCTAAGTATTCTCACCACCACACTAGCTTGATTGTGGGAATCATTTTACCGTGTCTATATGTATCTCGAAACATCACATTGTATGCCTTAAATCTATATACTTTTTATTTGTCAGGATACAAAAACAAAAAAGGAGTATAGCCCAAGATTCTTCATATTGTGGTCTCAGAGGTCCATAAGAGTGAGAATGAAAGCTGCAAGGCTTCTGAAGTTCTAAGCCTCAGAATCCTCATCAGGTCTGTCACATTCTATTGGGCAAAAGAAGTCACAAAGTCAGTTCAAAGTCAAGTGGGAGGGGACCACACTAGGGCATGAATTTAAGGAGGCATGGTTCTCTGGGGGCCGTTTATAACAATCCACTGTGCCATCCTTACACTGGTCACCTCTCTCTCCCCCAGCCCTCTGTGGGAGCCTTCTAACTGGACTTCCTACTTCGGCTCGTCACCTCTGATCTTCTCCAGTTAGCAACCAAAGCAGTCTTTTAAAAACAAAAATTGGACCATGTTTTTCCCTTTTAAAACTCTGCGGTGCTTCCATTGCAATTACCGTGTAATCCTGGGTCCTCACCACAAAACCCCAGATCATACATAGCTCCGTATGATCTGGCCTCTTCGTCTGTCTCACACTCTAGCCACACACACCTCCTTGGAACTTGCTAAGTTCCTCTCCACCTCAGGGTCTTTGTGCTTGCAGTTTCTTTGTCTTGAATCCTCTCTGTTAACATTTTGTGGGGTTGGCGTCTTCTCATGTGTATATTTCAGCTCCATTGTGGGAGATGTTCCCTGACCACTTCAGTATATACATAAAATTTTGTTATTTGTTACTGTCTGTCTCCCATGAAGGCCTGGGCTGGGTCTGTGCTTTTCCAGACTATGTCTCTGTTAAGCATGTGCTCAAAAAATGTTTGTTTAATACATTATGAATTAATTGCAAACCTCAATCAGTTGGGAATGGCTCCAGCTCCCAGAGTAACAGTGGCTTAAGCTGAAAGTTTACTTTTCCCTGTCTGAGTCTGGGTTCCCCCGAAGCAGACTCTGAGACAAGGATTCACGTGATAGTAGTTTGTTTGGGAGATTAAAGGACACAAGAAGGCAATAGTGTGTAGAAGCCAGCTTATATCACTTCCAAGAGCCAATAGTTAGATTTTTAGGAATCTTGTGAGCTAATTGTTAAACATAGGCATTATTGAAAATTAAATTGTATAAAGTTAAAATCAAATAAATTAAAGTGCAAGTAATTCTCAAAACTCATTACTTCCTAAATATTTTACTATGATATCTATTCTTAAGGTTGTTTACATGTATTTTGTCTGTCTGATAGAAACACTGTCAAGTGGTGAGCTACTGAACATCTCTTCCCAGCTCTGTGTTCAGAAGCTTTGGGTTGGCAGCAAGGCTTGCAGGTTGGGTCCAAGTCTGCTCCACCTGTCATTCATCTTCCAGGTACCATGTTCTTTTCAGGGCAAAAGGCTGCAGGGCAAAGTTGAGCCCACAGGCACATTTCAAGCCTCTGCTTACATCCCATCTACTAACATTGGCTAAATCAAGTCCCATGGCCAAGTTCAACATTAGTGGGGCAGGGAAGTGTATTCCTCCCTTTGGATCACAAATCACAAGGGCAAATCCCCATCAAAAGACCCTGAGTTTTTCTTTTGAGTACCCAAAGACACTTCCCAGACAAGAAGCAAGAGAGAAGTTAATTATGGTTAAGTTAAGGGGAAACACTGCTAGCTTTACACTGTTCCTCAATTTCCAGTTTTTAAGGTTAGACCCCTGTACTACTCAAAGTACAGAATCCGTTCAGTATGGGGTTTCATGGGACCCGGGGCAGGGGGGTCATGTAATGTAGAACCTTCAGGGGATATAATAAGGGAGAAAAGTGTCATTTGCTCCCCACCCCTTTGTCAGCCTCTTCCTATCTTTCTTTCAATGACAAAAGCTGAGGGAATATCTGGGAAATGTCTGCCAGCTCCTTGTCTTCTCTGCTTCCTACTCAAGCCTCCCTCCCCTCTACTGGGAACTTCCCATGAAGGATACCAGACAATTCCCAGCAGTTCTGTCTCCAGACCCCAGGATTCCTGCAATGGTGGATACCATCCTAACAACTATGACGGCAGCTTGGTCATGGGGGAGACATAGACTGACCTGCTCATATCACATCTTCTGGCAGGAAAGTCAGAGTCCTAGATCATGAAAAATCACTCCTGTCACCCTAGCGGATCTACCTCCTTAAAGGCAAAACCCATCCAGCATCTTGACACCAGTGTCGGATAATGGCCTCCCAAGGATGCTCATGTCCTCACCCTCAGAGCCTGTGGAAATGTTACCTTACATGGCAAAAGGGACCTTGTGAATGCAGTCAGGGATCCTAAGATGGAAAGATTATTCTGGATTATCCGTGTGGGTGCGAGGGGCTCTCACAAGTTAAAGAGGGGAATGAGAGACTCAGAGTCAGAGAAGGAGATGTGATGATGAAGCAGAGTTTGGAATGATGTGTAGAAGGGAACCCTGAGTCCAGGAATGTGAGCGGCCTCTAGAAGCTGAAAAAGGCAAGGACACAAATTCTTCCTGAGAGCCTGCAAAAGGAACATAGCCCGGCCAACCCATTTCAGACTTCTGACTTCTGCAATTGTTAAGATAATAGATTTGGGACGTTTGAAGCCATCAAGTTTATGATAATTTGTTATAGCAGCAATAGGAAACTTATATAGCCAGTAACTATTTAGGGTGAGCCTTGATCCCCACTCTCTTTTGAACTTTTGGTCTCTGGGAGGGCCCTTCGGCCCTTCTGACTTGTCATACAGCAAGAAGGCAAATGGATATTCAGGAACTGGAAGGCCAGGAAAGCCAATGTTTTGGTAAAGGCGTTGGCATTTGTATCTTTTATTTAAATACTATCTCATCACTTTGAAAGTTTCCCATCTACTCCACAGCTGTAACTGAAATCCAACCATTTCAGGTAATAGAAATATCAACTTGGGGTCTCCTGAGAATGGCAGATTGTGCATTTGCTAGAGTCAAAAAGAGATTGTCCGGGTCCAACCTGCCCACTTGACAGACAGGGAAACTGTGGCTGGAGTGTGCGTGGGCATCTGGGAGTGGGATGGGTGGGTGACCCCGGCAAATGGTGTTGGAGCCACCTCAGGCACCACTGGGGCTCCTGGCCCTGTCCTGCTCCTGCCTGTCATGGCTGCTGTTGGTACTGGCTCTCGGTGGCCGTGTAAAAGTCATCCAGCACACTCTGGATGTATTCAAAGGTGGGCCGCTCCTCTGGGCGGTTCTTCCAGCAGCGTGTCATGATGCTGTACAGCGCCTCGGGGCAGTGCTCCGGTCGAGGCATCCGGTATCCACGCTCCAGTGCTCGGATCACCTCTGGGTTTGACATCCCTGGGAAGGGGCGACAGAATTAAAAAGAAAAGGGAGGAGTTGGGAAATGGCAGATGCTGTGGCCTCCCAATAGCCATTGTACCTCTCCTCTCTCCTCCCACTGTGAAAGTCAGATCCTCCCTTGCAGCCAGGGAAGGGGCCTGGGACCCAGTTTTGGCCAATGGGAATGGTGAGGGAGGTGTGTTGGGAGATTTATGAGAAAGGTTTCCTCTCTGATTAAATGAGAAGATCTGGAGGACACACCCTGTGTCCCTTCCTTTGGGTACTGAGGGATACTTGTGATGCTTGGAGCTGCAACAGCCAACAGAGGAACTAACCCAGAGTCCTGATAGCTGTTGAGCTGCTGAACTAACCAGTTGCCAGGGCCATGCTTCTTATGGTGAGGAATAATAACTTGCCTCTTGTTTTAACCACTTAATCTATTATTTTGTTGCTTGCAGCCTAGACAAGGGCCTATAACCCACTGCCTGGTTTTGACAAGTGTACCCTCAAGACAAAACCGTGTCATCTTATGAGTAGGACTATTTCCTTGTTTAATTTAAGTATACATAAGTTATTCATAAGAAAAACCATGAAATGTCTATGATCCCTAATTTTATATTATAAGTGTTGCATTCCAAATTTATATATTCAAGAGCTTCCTTAAACATCTTCACTTGGATGCCTATAAGTCACCTCAAATTTAGCAGGGCAGACTGAATTTAGCAGACTGAGCTTTTGGATTTCTACCCCTAGACCACTACCTACCATCAGGGTCCCTGCTTCTCCCTCTCTCACCTCCTATGTCAGCAAGTCATATCTTTTCTTCTTTTAAAACACAGCACTAGTTCATCAGCACTAGTTCTCGGTGGCCAAAGCCACCACCCTGTCCAGGCCATCGCCACTTGTACCTAGGCCACTGCTGTGGTTTTGGTGACTTCCTCATGGGCTGTCACCCTGTTCTCCACCCCCACCCCCCATTCACTCTCTAAGCTGCCTTGGCATTACTTAAAATCGGAAGTCAGATGATGCCACTTCCCAGCACAAAACCCTGCAGTGGCTTCCCATATTGTGAGACTGACACCCACACTCTTTGTCATGACCCTGGGCCCCTGCCAATTTCATCATCTACCATCTGTTCTCATTCCTTGTGCCCAGGTGCCTGGCACACCTAAGGCCCTGTGAGCCCTCAGGGGCTTCTACCTGAATCCTTTTCCCAGATCTTCACTTGGCTCAACTGAAACCTGCTCCTGTCTATGGAGCCCCATGTCAGGGGCTCTCACATCCCCCTGCTTTCTTTTCTTTTTGTTTAGGGCATGTTCTTTCAGGCTAGACAGTGAGCTCCTTCTGCATAGGTGCTCAGGACCAGGGACCTCGTGTCTCCCTGGATCCTCAGTCCCTAACTCACGGTAGGAATTCAGTAAATACTCTTGACTGAAGCCAGTGTCTACATCAGCATTTTTCAACTTTTTTTTTTTTTTATATCTCATGGCACACTTGAATCTATACTTAAACTTCCACAACACACTTAAATTATGTTGAGCCCCCCCCCAAAAAAAAGAATAAAAAAAGGAATATATTTACTGTGCTTTGAACTTCTTTCAAAAATAATTTAATTAATGATCTTTAAAATGTTTCACAGCAAACCTAAGATCCTCTCCTAGCACATCAGTGTGCTATGGCACACTGGTTAAAAATCGCTGATCCACATATTTCTAACCCTTGCAACCGCTTCTTCAAGGTAGATATCATTAACTACATTTTTTACAGGTAAAGACACTGGGGTAGGACAGGTGAAGCAACTCTCAAGGTGTGACAGTTAGTGGGGGACAGGGTTCAAATTTAGCATGATTATATAAAAAGTAAGGGGCCCTTATGTCCCTCTTGCCTATCTCCCAGTGCTGTGGATACAGATACCCCAAGAGACAAAAAAGGAACAGAGGACAGCATTATTTACTGAGTCCCAGGTAATCCACATGTTGGGTACATCTTTTTTTTTTTTTTTTTTTACTGATAAGCTGCTAAAGTGGAGGTAAATTTTGTGTGCCCACCGGCCTAATCAATGTGGGGCTCTGCCCACAGATGTGGGGATACGTTAAGATATTCCACGCGTGGTTGCTAAGCACCTGCTACATGCCACGCACAGAGACACATAGGAAGGAACACAGACACGGTCTGGCCTCATGGAGTGTAGTCTCATGGGGAAAATATCAAACAAATGCACAGTTATCAATTGTGCTGAATGCCATGATCAAATCTGGATTCACTTAAGACCCAGAAAGCCACATATAGCCCCAAGGCTGCAGGTTCCCCACTCCTGGCAGAGGTGAAGCTGAAGAAGCAGGCAGGGGTAGGTCTTGTAAGACCTGCAGGCTACATTGGGAGTTTGGGATTTTGTCCTAATTATAACGGGAGACCATTAAAGAGTTAGACGTGGAGAAGAGACATGATGAGCTTCACAGTTTAGAACAATCCCTGAGGCTGCAGGATGAGTGGGAGGACACAGCAGCGCTGATGGGGAGGCCTCCATAGCATCCCCAGGAGAGGCGCTGCTGGCCCAGATGTGCTGGAGGCTGTGCAGTTAGAAGCAGGCAGACTTGGGATATGTTTTGGAGTGGCATGGCCAGAACCTTGTGACTGCTTGGATGTTATAAGGCTGAGAGAGAAAGAAGGGCCAAGGAAAGCTGCTCATTTCAGGCTTCAGATGTTGGATGGACAGCAGTGCCTTTAATCTAGAGGGGAAATGTGAGAGGAGCAGGAGTGGGGACCCAGAAATCAGTCTGAATGGATACACTGCCAAGATGCAGTCTTTGCCAGGCTGGACCCTGGAAGCAGACCCCAGCGAAAGCCTCCCTCCCTACCTGGGTAAGGGATCCGGCCGTAGGTGACGATCTCCATCAGCAGGATACCAAAGGACCAGACGTCAGACTTGATGGTGAAGGAGCCAAAGTTGATGGCTTCCGGAGCCGTCCACTTGATGGGGAACTTGGCCCCTGCAGGGTTGGACAGAGCAGAGTCAGGGGCAGACCAGAGCCGGGTATCTGCTGAGGGGAGGGAACAGGGCAGGGCGACAGCTGCCAACATCTGCCCCTGCAGAACTGTGATTTCCCTGCAATGCATCTCCCTGTGGAAGAAGGGACATCTGTCCTGGGGGCAGATGGTTAAAGTTAGGGGAGGCCACCTCCTTGATTCAACTGATATTTCAGTGAACTATAACTGAGAAGGGTGAGTCCTAGAGGTCACAGAATCTTTGGGGACAGAAAGGCTTCACCCAGCCTTGAGTCCAGGTAAGCTGATGCCTCAGTCCCCTGGCCCCTGGCAATAAGGGAAGGGAGGATTTGGGATCTCTGCCTCTGAGGTTTCCATCAGTTACTAGTTGTCTCCTCCTAACTGGCCTAAGATGGGTTCATCTAGTCTTAGAGTTTATCTTCATTACGTTATGGCTAGTAAACATGGTCTATAGGATAAAATCAATGTTCTTTGGAATTTGCTAAGAGCTGCTTTATGACTGAATACATTGTCGAGTATTCTATGAAAATGCTTTCAATTCTGTTGAAAATGCAGTGTGCGTGTGCACAGGCAGGTGTGTGCATAGGTCTGCACGTTTCTCCTTTCCTTCCTTCCTTTGGCTCTGCAGAGTTTTATTTCCTGCTTTAGAAATTATACATTCTACTTTTACTCTTTTAGGGGTTACCCTTAGTCAAACAATTTTTTACTGGGCAGCACCTGTGGCTCAAAGGAGTAGGGCGCTGGCCTCATATGCCAGAGGTGGCAGTTTAAACCCAGCCCTGGCCCAAAACTGCAAAATAAAAAAAAATATTTTTTTACTTGTGGTGTAACATACATGAAATAAAGTGCTCAAATCTTTAATATACAACTTGATACATCTTTATATATGTCTATACCCTGTAATCATCACCCAATTGAGGTGTTGAACAGTCTCAGCATTTTAGAAGGCTCTAGAGGGCCTTCTTGTCCTCTCAGTAGATGGCTCTTGAGGTTAAGTAATTCCCCAGTGCTTTAGGCAACTGCTATTCCAATCTCCATTGCTATCAGTGGAGTTTGCTGGGGGGGGTTTGTGCAGTTTTTGGCCGGGGCTGGGTTTGAACCCACCACCTCCGGCACATGGGGCCAGCACCCTACTCCTTTGAGCCACAGGCACCTGTTATTTTTTTCTTTAACAGCATTATTGAGCTATAATTCACAAACCACAAAATTCATCCTTTTTTCTGAAGACAAGGTCTTGGCTAGGCACAGAGGCTCATGCCTATAATCCTAGCACTCTGGGAGGCCAAGGTGGGATCTGGGACTACAGACACCCACCACCATGCCCCACTTGTACAGACACCCACCACCATAGCCAGCTAGCTGGGCATGGTGGTGGGTGTCTGTAGTCCCAGCAACTGGGGAGGCTGAGGCAGAAGAATTGCTGACGCCCAAGAGTTTGAGGTTGCTATGAGCTATGATGATGCCCCGGTACTCTACCCAGGGTGGCAGAGTGAGAGCTGGTCTTGAACTCCTGACCTCAAGCCATCCTCCTGCCTCAGCCTCCCGAAGTGTTGAGATTTCAGGTGTGAGCCACTTGTACCCTGCCTAAAATCCACCCATTTAAAGTGTTCCATTTAATGGCTTTTAGGATATTCACAGAGTTGTGAATTTTAGAACATTTTCACCCGCCCCCCCCAAAAAAAACCACAATAGCAGTTACTAGAATTTCTCCCAAATTCCCACAGCCAGCCTTAGGCAACAACTTATTTATTTTCCATATCTTTAGATGTGCCTGTTCTGGACATTCCATGTAAAGGGAATCACAGAATATGAGCTCTCTGTGCCTGGTTCCATTTAGTATAATCTCAAGGGCATCTGTGTTGAAGCATGTTACAGTACTTCAGTTTATTTTATGGCCCAACAGTATTTCATTGCCTGGATATACCACATTTTGTTGGTGGACATTAATTAGCGTTCCTCCCATTTCTTGGCTATTAGGAATAATGTCGCTATGAGCATTTGTATACAAGTTTTGTCTGTTTTTGAATTTCAGAAAAATGGAACCATCTAGTGCCTACTCTTTTTTTGTTTGATTTCTTTCATTTTGACATTATGTTTGTGAGAGCTGCCCATTTTGCTCAAATACCCCAAGTGTGTGCTTTTCCATGGCTGCATGTTATTATGTTGTGTGAATATATCACAATTTATGTATCCACCTTTCCGTATATGGACATTTGGGTTCTTCTCACTTTTTGTCTATCAAGTTGCTCTTACCCTTAATTTCAACATGTATTTGCCTAAGTCTGAAATCAATCACTACTTCCTGATCTAGTCTAAAATCTCCTTCTCAGATGGGTGCATGAAGGAGGTTCATGCCTGTAATCCTGGCACTCTGGGAGGCAGAGGTGAGTGATTGCTTGAGCTCAGGAGTTCAAGACCAGCCTGAGCAAGAGTGAAACCCCATCTCTACTAAAAATGGAAAAAAAAATCTAACTGGGCATTGTGGTGGGCACCTGTAGTCTCAGCCACTTGCAAGGCTGAGGCAAGAGAATCACTTGAGCCCAAGAGTTTGGGGTTTTATAAGCTGTGACACAACAGAACTCTACCCAGGGCGATAGAGTAAGACTCTGTCTCAAAAAAAAAAAAAAAAAAAGCCCCCAAACAAAATAAAACAACAGGCTCAGCGCCTGTGGCTCAAGTGGCTAAGGCGCCAGCCATATACACCTAAGGTGGCGGGTTTGAATCCAGCCTGGGCCCGCCAAAACAATGACGGCTGCAACCAAAAAATAGCCGGGCATTGTGGTGGGCACCTGTGGTCCCAGCTACTTGGGAGGCTGAGGCAGGAGACTCGCTTGAGCCCAGGAGTTAGAGGTTGCTGTGAGCTGTGATGCCATAGCACTCTACCCAGGGGTAAAGCTTGAGGCTCTGTCTCAAAAAAAACAAAAAACAAAATAAAACAACAACAAGAAAACACAGACTATTTAAAATCTCCTTCTGAAAGTCACTGAGTAAGACTCTGAAGTCCAGGACATTGTCTAGAAGGACCCCATCAAGCTTAATAATGCATAGCTAATACTAGGGTAGATCTTTGCATCTTACCAATCACTTTCAGAGGGATCAATTCTTTTTTTTTGAGACAGAGCCTAAAGCTGTCCCCCTGGGTAGAGTGCCGTAGCATCACAGCTCACAGCAACCTCCAACTCCTAGGCTCAAGCGAGTCTCCTACTTCCACCTCCCAAGTAGCTGGGACCACAGGCACCCACCACAATGCCTGGCTATGTTTTGGTTGCAGCCATCACTGTTGTTTGGTGGGCCTAGGCTGGATTCGAACCCACCACCTTAGGTGTATATGTCTGTTGCCTTAGCCACTTGAGCCACAGGCACTGAGCCGAGAGGGATCAATTCTTAACACTCACAACCCATCCAAGTGGGCACCATGGGCTTGCTTGGCAGTGTCCCCTACCTTCCCGAGCCGTGTACTCATTGTCTTCGATGATCCGTGCCAGCCCGAAGTCAGCAATCTTACACACCAGGGATGCAGAGACCAAGATGTTGGCAGCTCGGAGGTCTCGGTGAATGTAGTTCCTTTGCTCAATGAAGGCCATGCCTTCTGCAATCTGCATCCAAAACAGAGATGCCCTCGTCCTCAGACCTGGCCCAGCCCCAGGTGGTCCACTCCAAAGCAGCAGAGGAGTGTCCAGCTAAGAGGAAACTAGAAAACATCTGCCTCACCTCCCCCTTTTCTGTTGGAGTGTCAGGGGCTCAGGTTAGCCTTTCTTTGTCTACCCATCCATGTGGGGTTATCCTTGAGGCCTGGGTCAATTTGGGGGGTTCTTTAGAATTCCAAAACTTCCAGGGAGGGAGCACTTTGAAATATTCTCACGGAAAAGGGCTTTTTCTCCAGGACCTATACAACACACACACACACATACACACACACACACTAGGATTCTACAAAGTGCTTTCATCCTCAACCCAGTTTGAGGGGACAACCTAGGTTCACATCATATTCTTGTCTGTCTCTTATATATTTTTCTCCCCAAGAGCCTGGGCAGGAAAAATTCATTAATTAATGCAACAAAAATCTCCTGAGTGTTTTTGAGTGCCAGACATATTACTTGGATCGGTGGTGACAAGTACCATAAGGAAAAGATAAAGTAGAGCAAGAAAACATGAGCTGAGAGGGCCGTTTTGTTTGGTTGGTCAGGAAAGCCTGCTTTAAGGACGTGAGAAATGAGCTACAATCCGAATGCTGATAATAAGAAGTGTGTCAAGTAAGAATATGCCAGGCAGAGAGAGGACCAGGTGCAAAGGCCTGGGGGTAGGGATGAGCTTGGGGTTTATGGAACAGCCCCGAGGCCAGGGTGGCTGAGCAGAAGATGCCCTGACAGAGAGGAGAGAGTGAAGTTGAGACGGAGGCTGCCAATTGTGAACAGCCCTGGAGGTCAGGAGAGGAGGCTGGATTTTATTCTGAGAGTGAGAAGCCATTCAGCAGGAGTGTGACATGTTCTGATGTATATGTAAAAGTCATCATGGCTGTTAACTGAATAACAGACTGCCTGGAGGATTTTTTTTTCTTTCCTTTTTTTTTTTTGAGACAAAATCTCCCTCTGTCACCCTGGATAGAGTGCTGTGATGTCATCATAGCTCATAGCAACCTCAAACTCTTGAGCTTGAGCAATCCTCTTGTGTCAGCCTTCTGAGTACCTGGGACTGCAGGTCTGTGCTACCTTGCCCAGCTAGTTTTTCTTTTTCTTTTTTTATTTTTTAATTAAATCATAGCTGTGTACATTAATACAGTCATGGCCAGCTAGTTTTTCTATTCTTAGTCTTACTCTTGCTCAAACTAGTCTTGAACTCCTGAGCTCAAGCAATCCACCCACCTTGGCCTCCCAGAGTGCTAGGATTACAGGCATGAGCCACCCAGCCCAGCCGAGTGAAGAATTCTTATCACATTGGGGGCCTTGGAAATCTCTAATAAAAAGACATGGGATTATGCCTTGGAGACATTTTTACTATCGATGATTGATGGGTTTGGACAAAAGAGGTTTAAGATTAACCCCCAGATACCCAGAAAGCAATGTTTATAGCTTATAAACCAGCCTCTGAGTTCTTTGAGGCAGGAATCACCATTAGCTCTGTCTTACAGAGGACAGGTCACTTTCCAGATCATACCACCAGGAAAATTCTGAATGTCAGACTCAAATCTGTCTGCAGGTTCCCAATCTAGGCAGCTCCGTGCTGCCTCTAAGTAACTCATCACCCCAGTGCCCTGGAGGAAGGACTATAGCTGGTGTAATCTGATGAGATTAATTGAGGGTGGGAGGCGGGAATCTGACTAAGTGGAGCAAAGAAAAGGTGCAATCAGCTGGCTCAAGGCCAGAGGCAAGTGGGTGGTGCACTTGCCGGAATGGACAGCAGAGGGCGCCCAAGGCAGCTGGACCTGAGATCCAGACTTCAGAACAAAAACTTCCAAAGAGACTTTCTGACTTTGTTTGATGCAGTGGGAGTTGGGGTACCAGTGCGGGAGGGGCGGGGGAATAGAGTGAGACAGAGTCTTGGCTTGGGGAGTGTGGGAAATTTATAAGGAATTCTTACAGCTAGCAAAAGTTATTAAGCTAATGGCAGATACTGTAACTTACAAGGTATTTACTTACTATGCTTTGGAGGAGGTAATCTCACACCCAGGTAGACCAGGCCCCCAGGCATGCTCCTCCCTGTCCCTGGGTTCTGAGTCTACCTCTGCTTCCAGATGTTTAAGGCCCAGAACCTCTTTCCCTTTCTTGGTTCATTTTCCCATATGTGAGACAGATCTCCTGGATCATGCCCCAGTCTCTGACTACTGCTCAGGAAGGTCTTGGCCGGTTTGATGATTATAACTTAGCAACAGGCCAGACTATTGTTTCCCAGTGACAGTGCCCACTGGAGTGAAAATGCCAGTTCTTGATTTCCATATGTCTCTGGCATTCCAGGTTCCCAAAGTAGAGCCTTTTATTATATTTGTGGTGGCCTTTGGGCCCCTGGAATTTGCATTCTCAAATGAGCCCCGCCCTTGGCCTGTCCTGTAGGCCCAGGCCAGGTCTTGCTCCACTCCCACCATGGCACCAACCCGTACTCCCTTCATCCTGTCACCCTCTAGGCTCTGGCTGATTAGGTCGAGCCCCCTTGTTCTCCCCTTCGGACTTTTGCAGTTTTTTCTTCTGTAGACCATCCTTCCCTTTCCTCTTCATCAGCTGAACTGCTACTCATCCTTCAGGCTCAGCCTAGCGCTCACTTCCCTTGGGAAGCCTCCTCTGATCGCTCCTGGACCAGGCCAAATGCTCCAGCTGTGCACTCCCATGACATCCTCATCCTCCCCTATTTTCCCATAGACAGAAGAGAGCGTGTGAGAGAGGACAGAAGTAAAAATCACTCTGGCTGGGGGTGAGAGGAGCTGCAGGGGGCGAAGGGAAGATGAGAAAGAAAATGAGGTTTTCAGAAGTATTTCTGTGTTTTGTGTACATTATTTACTTTGCTGGATACCATGCTCTTTTGACTCTGAGCCGGGATCACTTGGGTCATGGCTCTCTAAGAGATTCAATTATTTAATAGGTATTAAACCTATCTGAACTGCAAGGTCTATGAGTGCAGGAACATTTTCCATTTTATTCACAGCTGCATTCCCCGTAACTAGTATAGTGACTTAGGCAAGTTGCTTAATCATACGGGGTCTCAGTTTCCTCATCTGTACTTAATTTCTTCTCTGTGCCTTGATTTCCTGTTTTGTGAAATGAGATGCCAATTACCTACCTGTGGCCAGACTGTTATCTTGGGGGCCCCCAATGTGCCATGTCTCCAGGGATTCATGACTTTGTGCAGCCCCCTTTCACACTGACACTAGACTTGGTCCTATAACTTGCTTTAGCCAATGGGACATAAGCAAGCACAATGGAAGCAGAGGCTTAATAAGCACCTGCATGTCAGGGCTTGGCCCCTCAGCACACTCCCTCTTGGAACCTAGTTGCATATTGTAAAGAAGCTCTGTTGGACGAGTGAGTGGTGAGGGATGCTGGAGGATGAGCCATAGTCTTAGACATTCAATCTCCATGCAAGCACTCAGCAGTATGCATCACATCACTGTGTCACCACATGGAGCAGAAGAACCCCCAGCCAACCCCAGGCAACCCACAGAATCATGAAAAACAATCATCTCTGTTGTTCTAGCTTTGGGGTGGTTTGTTAGGTAAGAAAAGAGTTTTAAAATACTGGTGGCTCGTAGGATGATGTGAGGATTAAAAAAGTTAGTGTGTGTGTAAACTACATATAAAGGGTATACTTTCATACTGAGCCTTGAACATGTCTCACCCATTATTATTGCTCTAATGATGCCATAGGGTCAGTAAATCTTTGTTGGACGAAAAATCGAATTCCTGTCTCCCTCCCCCCAACTTCCCCATTAGGCTCCCACCTGGGCTGAGAAGTCGATGAGCTTGGGCAAGGGCTGCTTGCTGCCTTCGTCACTTTTCAGAAAGTCCAGCAGGCTTCCTACACGGGGCAGGAGGAACATTGACTACTCTTACTACTTCGGTACATGGTTCAAAGTTTTCATAGTAGTGTATTTTTTTTTTTTTTTTTTGAGACAGAGTCTCATTCTGTCCCTCTGGGTAGAGTGCTGTGGCATCATAGCTCACAGCAAACTCATACTCCTGGGCTCAAGGGATCCTTTTGCCTCAGCCACCACACATAGCTGGAATTACAGACACCCGCCACAACACCTGGCTAATTTTTTCTATTTTTAGTAGAGACTGGATCTCACTTTTGCTCAGGCTGGTCTTGAACTCCTGAGCTCAAGCAATCTACTCGCCTTAGCCTCCCAGAGATTATAAGCATGAGCCACCACCCACCTTGCTATAGTAGTGGATTTAAATCAAATATTTATCATTCCTAGTGTTTAAGAAAGAGAACTGGAGAGGTTTTGTTTGTTTGTTTTTGAAGTGACTGACTGCTAGTTGGGTCCTGTGGCTGAGAAAGCCTTCTGAGACCCATGCCTGGGATCATGGCTGTGCCAAGCTGCCATAATTGTATACTTAGAAAATGATAACAGGTCTGAGAATCTAAATGATACTAAATGAGACTGTATGAGTTATTTCCGTTTATCCAAAAATGGGCAGGGGTAGAAATGGTTATGAAATGGTGGCCTAAACAAGTCCCTGAGAGATCCTGAATTATGTGTGTGTGTGCATGTGTGCGGGTGTGTATGCGTGTGTGCATGTGTATGCCCGTGTGCACACATGTATGTGCGTGTGCATGTGTTTGTGTGTGCACACGCATGTGCGTATGTGCACATGTGTTGTGTGTATATGTGTGTATGTGCATGAGCGTGTGTGGGTGTGTGTGTGCATGTGTGTGTGTGTGTGTGTGCAGGGACTGCTGCTTTGCAGGCTCCTTCTCTCAGAGCACACGGGGAAGGTGTCTCATGAGGGCATCACCCCTGGCCTCTAAGGCTCACAGTGAACACATAAGCCTCTTCCCCGTTGCGCAGCAGGGTCTGACCCTGCTCCCCTCTCCTGGCAGCTCTGTGTTCTCCTTTTCTTTCCCTCAGTGACCCCTTACCATAACTTCACCCCGTTAGCCAGGAGAGCTGGACTATTGCACATTAAGGTGCTCAGGGAGTGCTGGTCTGAAGAGTCCTGGCCACAACCATGTCAAAGTCACCCTGGAGCCTCCCACTGCTAAGTACCAGCACACCCTGCATCCCCAGTGCCCAGCATGCAGCACCTTTGGCCATGAACTCTGTGATGATGTAGATGGGCTCCTCCGTGACCACTGCGTGCAGCTTCACCAGCTTGTCGTGCTGCAGGGTTTTCATCAGGTTGGCCTCAGCCAGGAAGGCCTCCACCGACATGCTGCCGGGCTTCATCGTCTTCACTGCCACCTTGGTGTGCTTGTTGTAGGTGGCTGGAGGCAGACAGGGAGCAGGGTAAGTGGTCAGAACCTGCTGGTGTCCCCCCACCCCCTGGAAGGCCTGGCTGCAGGCCTGCCTTCCCCAAGCCTCCCCAGCCTGTCGTAGCCTTCACGGAGGGCTCAGGCCTCAGACAGGTGTGGGCTGCAAGGGTGCTTCACCTAGCTGTGCACACTTGGGGAAGTCACTTAACCTCTCTCTGCTGTGCTTTCCCCATCTGCAAAGGGGAAATGATAATCACTCCCTATGAAGGGCTGTTGCAAAGATTAAAAAATAACTTCAAAACAACATTCACCCACCCCTGTCACTTTAATCTTAATGCTGCTCATGGCCAGATATGGTGGCTCATGTCTGCAATCTTAGCACTTGGGGAGCACAAGGTGGGAGTGTGAGACCAGCCTGAGCCAGAGTGAGAGACCTTGTCTCTTAAAAAAATAGCTGTGCTTGGCAGGTGCCTGTAGTCCCAGCTACTCGAGAAGCTGAGGCAAAAGGATGACTTAAGCCCAAAAGTTTCAGGTTGCTGTGAGCTGTGATATGAGTGCACTCTACAGAGGGTGACAAAGCGAGACTGTCTAAAAAAAACAAAACAAACAAAACAACCCAAAACAAAACACTGCTCTTAAAGACCAGACTTATGCCCCACAAGGCCCTGATCACCCTTACCTATACCTTTAGCCTCATCAGCCCTTTATGGACCAACCACCCTGCCTGCCACTCAGTCCCTCGAGCCCCCCACTGCCCTCCCTCCACAGAGATTTGGCACATGCTATTCATCCACCCCACCCCACCCTGCTTCATTTTGTGGATCTCATCAGTCTCATAATTCCTCTAGGTTTCTATGTTCCCATTTGGCTTCCAGGAAGCTTCGATCCAGATCTGTGGTTTTCCTGAAGTAAAAGTCTAAGGTCTTGTATGATATTTTTATTTTTATTATTATTATTTTTTGAGGTAGAGTTTCACTTTGTTGCTCTTGGCAGAGTGCTGTGGCATCACACGGCTCATAGCAACCTCCAACTCCTGGGCTTCAGCGATTCTCTTGCCTCAGCCTCCCAAGTAGCTGGGACTAGAGGCGCCCGCCACAACGCCCGGCTATTTTTTGGTTGCAGTTCAGCCAGGGTAGGATTTGAACCCAGCACCCTCGGTATATAGGGCTGGCACCCTACTCACTGAGCCACAGGCGCCACCCAATATTTTTGGTTTTCCCATCTCACCATTCGGATCTGTCTCACCTTCCTCTCCAAGTAAAGAAATCCTTGGATTTTAAACCTATTTTATCTGGCTGGGTTGTTTGCATCTCTGTAAGCTGTCTTCACTCCCATTTGGAAGGCAGTGGAGTATTAACACAGTGGGATGCCCCACACGCTGAGCCAGGCTTTGCTTCTACCCCACATCCTGGAAAGCAGCCATTGCTGTTCTTAAGGTACTGTGAGGGGTGCAGCAGGGGCAGAACCTGCCTTTCTGATGCTCATGATGCCAGCATTGGACCCACCTGGAAATCTCCAACTGCATCTCCCCATGCTTAGTATATGTGCTGTTGAAGTGAGCACATTTCGCATGCTTAAATTTTTTTTTTTCTTTTTGAGACAGGGTCTCACTTTTGTCACCCTTGGTAGAGTGCCATAACATCCATAGCTCACAGCAACCTCAAGCTCTTGGGCTCAAGTGATTCTCTTGCCTCAGCCTCCCAGGGCGCCCACCACAATGCCCAGCTAATTTTAGAGACGGGGGTCTTGCTCTTGCTCAGGCTGGTCTCAAACCTATGAGCCCAGGCAATCCAGCCTCATTCTCCCAGAGTACTAGGATCACAGGTTGATATGGTTTTTTTTTGGAAAAAGTCTCACTCTGTTGTCTTGGGTAATGTGCTGTGGCATCATAGCTTGAACTCCTAGGCTCAGGCAAACCTCTTGTCTCTGCCTCCCGGTAGCTGAGACCTAAGGCACCTGCCACAACACCCAGCTAATTTTTCTATTTTTAGTAGAGATGGGTTCTTCCTCTTGCTCAGGCTGGTTTTGAACTCCTGAGCTCAAGCAATCCGCCTGCCATGGCCTCCCAGAGTGCTAGAATTATAGGAGTGAACTTCTCTGCCTGGCCCCCATGCTTAATTCCATCATCCTTAGAGACCTGTGGTTGCTTCAGCCAACTGTCTTAGCGCCCTACAGTGGGGGGAGGGGATTCCTCAGCCAGCACTCCTGCTTCCCTGGAGGACGTTTTTGACCCCTACAAGCCTGGTCTGAAAAGCAAATCAATGTTTGCACAGCAGGACAATTTGGTTTGCTATCAGAGGAGCTATTCTTTGTGGCTCTTATTCAAATCTCCCCTTCTGCCTTGGGTAGTGTTCCCATTTTGCCTGAAGATGTTCCTGGAAGTGAGTCCCCTCCTTCTCCTCCTCCCTGCGGGCCTCTGGTGCTGGCCCTGGGTCCTTACCCATCCACACTTCCCCAAACTGTCCAGCTCCAAGTCTTTTCTCCAGTTTGAGGGATTCCCGGGGGATCTCCCAGGCATCTTTCTCCCAAGGCTTCTGTGGCTTGGGGGACATGCAGGCCACCGACAACTTCTGGCAGAGACCATCGTTATTCTCTGGAACAGATTCCCTGGTCAGTTGAGGGCAGTGAGCGCCGAGCCAGCCAGAGGCTGCCCCTTGAGGCCTGCCTGTCTGGTCCACTGCGTCTGGCTAGTGTTCCACCTGGTTGCTATCATCAGGAACATTCCCAAGAGAGCAGAGCATGATGGGGTCCACCTCTACACCGTGGGCACCTCCAACCTCCTGCTCAACAGGCCTAAGGCTTCAGGAGAATCCAAAGCAACCTGTGAAGGGCTGGGGTTACCCCTTCTGCCTTGGAGGGTCAGGAAGAGTTCAGCAGGCACCATGGCTAGGATTCCTGGACATGACCCTGGGGCAGGACTCACTCTTGTAGTGGGCCACCAGCTCCTGCAGGGTGCTGAAGGTGCTCCTCGGGGAGATATAGAAGCCTCCGTTGTCCAGGGTCCGGATCTTGTAATGCTTCACTGCATCTCCTTGCCGGGGGTCGTAGTCTCGCACAGACAACGAGTAGCTCCCTGCATTAGCCAAAGAGAAATCCCTCAGAATGGCACCTCAGAGGCCTGCCACCTCGTGTCAACACCCTGACACCCCTTCCTGACATCCCTGTAAGACCACCGCTGGCACTGTCCGGGCACCTAGGCAGGATTGCACAAGGATCAGAGTGCGCCTGTGGAGTCTGGCTCTACTATGTCCATCTGTGAGACCTTGGGCAAGTGAGCACATCACTTCTGTGTGCCTCAGTTTCCTCATCTGTAAAATGGGACTAATCATCATGCCTCTGTACCTCACCACATTGCCTAACAATTAAAAGAAGTATGCTCGTAAAGTACTTAGGACCTAAATATTCAGCAAATGTTGGCTATGATCATCATCTTCATCATTATTTCTGATCCTCCTTTCCTTTCCTCTAACAAAAAGCCAACAAATCATACTAGTTTGGTAAAAAGTCAGACCATTCAGAAATCCAGTCTGGTTACTGAAATGTGAACGCGTTTTGGTAGGCTGAGTAACGGCCCCTCAAGATGTTCACGCCCTAAATCCTGGAACCTGGGAAAATGTTACCTTACATGGTTAAAGGGACTTCTCAGCTGTGATTAGGATCTGGAGATGGGGAAATCATCTTGGATTATCCAGGTAGCCCCAATGTAATCACACTGGTCCTTGTTGGAGGGAGGCAAGAAGGTCAAAGTCAGTAGTAGAAGATGTGAGGGTGGAAATAAGAGGCTGGAGAGATGACAGAAAGGGGTCACGAGCCAAGGAATGCTGTGGCCTCAAGAAGCTGAAAAAGCAAGGAAATGGGTTCTCTCCTGAAGCCTCCAGAAGAAGCTCGTCCTGCTGACACCTTGAATTGAGCCCAGTGAGGTCAGACGACTGACCCCAAGCACTGTAAGGTGATAGATTTATGCTGTTTTAAGCCACTAAGTTTGTAGGAATTTGTTATGGCAGCCATAGGAACCTAATTAATGTGCATGTTATCACATAGATCAGAAACACACGAGTCTCCAGGCCAGGACCACAGTTCTGCAGTCTGTGAGCTGTGCCCCTGGGCAAGTTCTCAGTCCCTCTGTCTCTCAGTTTTCTCTACCATAATAGCACTATGTTATAGGATCCCGGGGTATTCAATTGTTGAATGAAGCTGTGTGTGGTGGCTGGCGCCTATAATCCCAGCTACTCAGGAGACTGAGATGGCAAGGAATTGATGCCACTTGATGCCAGGAATTTGAGACCAGCCTGGGCAACATAGTGAGAACTTGTCTCTACAAAAAATTAAAAAATATTAGCTGAACGTGGGTGGCACACGCCTATAATCCTAGCTGCTTAGGAAACTGAGCCTAAGAGTTCAAGGGTGTAGTGAGCTCTGATCGTGTCAGGGCACTCTAGCCTGGGTGACAGAGTGAGACTCTGTCCCTGGAAAAAAAGTCTTGAGTAAATAACAGTTACCCATACATGCCAGGCATGGTTATGAGCTCTCTGTACAAATGAACAATGAATGAATATGGATAATATTCATTGTACTGAATTATATAGGTTATATTATTTATTGTAATGAATGAATAACCTCATGGTAGAGGTAGAGCTTTTATAATATCATCGCCCTACTTACAGATGAGGAAATTGAAACCCAGAAAGGTGAAGTAACTCACCTGCAATCACACAGCTGGTAAAGGGCACAGCTGGGATTCAAGTCCAGGCAGCTGCCTCCAGGCCCCCGCCCCATGGTCACTCTGTCCCAGTCAAGGTGAAGCTGGCTTGGCTGATGTTGGATGGGGGCAGGGCAGAATCCAGGAAGTAGCATATGGGATTCAGGGGCCTCATTCTGCAAGTTTTAGTAAGTCAGCTGACTCTCACCATGCCTCTCTGCCTTGGAGGGTGGGGACAGCTGAACCAGGCTCCTGTCCTGCCCTGCAGGTCTGTGATGGTGTCTTTGGTCTTTCTGTCCCTGTCTGCGGGATGAGCCCAATCCCCAAGCTCTCCTGGGCACAGCTGGAGAGAAGAGCTGGGCTGTGCCCAGATGGATTTGTATCCATCCAACAAATCTATGGCATTGTCACCTTTATTAGTCCCATTTTACAGATAAGAAAACTGAGAGATGGAGAAGGCAAGTAACTTGGCCATAGTCGCACAGCTTGGAAGTTGTGGAGGCAGGAGGCAAATCGAGGCAGTCTAACTCCAGAGCCCAAGCTCTTAATCACCATGCCTTTTTTGTCTCATTTCTTTTCCCTTGAGGACTTGAAGGGGGCTTGTTGGGTGGGAGGAAATAAAGCCCAAGAAGTCCCTGAGCTGAGCAGCGTTAGACTAGTCACACTCAGGCTTCACCAATTCAGAGAGCTAGGGGCAAGTGGAGGGTCACACAAATACCTTGGATCAATTTCCCCAACTCTGTTTGCTTCAGGGTACCCTGAAATTATTGAATTTATTTGAATCAAGCAATTGTGAATCTGAACATATTAGCAAAGGTGCACTCTGCATGTGAAATCCGGAATCACAAGAATTCTACTCCTGGGAAAATTAGCCTCAGTTGATTTATGTGATGTTTGAGTTATGTGATGTTTTCCGGCACTGTTCTTGCCTCTAATGCACCCACCCAGTATGAAGCCACTGTCACAGAACAAGAGTTTTAGGAAGCAGGTCACCCAACATTGGAACTTCCAAATGCTTCTAAGGAGCATTTTAAGAAGAGTCCCAGAGGAGGACTCTGGCATTGGGTCTCTTCCTGCAACTTCGTTTCCTTATGGTGGGTGTGGGGAGCAGGAGGAATCAGGCTTGTGGACAAGAAAGATGTACATTGTGATGGGTATTTAAAAACAATACAAGCTAGTGAAGATCAAGGGTCATCAGGACTTTTGTTTGTTTCTGGGGCTCAACGATTTGAGACTACTTCCATTGGTTTAAGCTGGCAACTACAAGGACAAGAATGACCAAGTCACACACAGAGCCTCAACCCTCTCTAGCTTGGGGTGGCATAGAGCAGGAGAAAACATGGCGCCATGCAGCCTGGTTGAGTTGTTCAGCCTCCCTCCCATTGTGTTTCTGAGTGAGAGGTGGTGGCCAGTCATGCCTGGGGTACCTCTGAAGGGAGGGATGCAATGGGGAGGGTTAGTGTCACCTTTGGTGGTCTCGCTGTCTCGGATCATGAACGAGCCTAGCACATTGCCGGGAGCTAGGAGTTGGCGCTCTGCATCCTTCCTGCTGATGCCCTTGAAGAACCACCTGGGGGAAAGGGGAGAGCACATGTTTGAACCTGGGGTATGGAGTCCTGTCCTGCTCACACGGGGCACCTGTGGCCATGCCATGTCCATGGGGGAGTCAGGATACTGAGCGACTTGCTCTGTGCAACCTCAGTTTTTACTCAAAGATTTTTTTTTTGGCAGGGGGTGGGGGTGAAGTTGTTCTTTTGATATCAAAGCACCCAGAAGTGAATCTAGTTTGCTAAGACTGAAGCCTGTGCAATTTGGAGGTTAGGGAGTGCTTTCTTTAAGAAAAATAATACAGCATCACAAATGCAAAATGCTCATGGGTTTTTCCAGTGTCACTTGATGTGAGGGACAAGAGCTGGATAGGAGGACTGGGTGGGAAGAGTCAGCAGTCTTGGCCAACTGTGATCAATAATCTTACTTTTGCAAATTTCACATGCACACATGACCTTGGGGAGGGTTCCTCTCAGGGCCTCGGAGGCCTGTGGGAGTGAGGGCTTGAGGTTTGTTAGCTTCACAGTCAATCCTCCTCTGTGTACACAGAGCCAAATACAAAGTTGGCATGAATTTCAAAGCTAAAATATGAGATTGCAAACAATTTCATACTTGGAACCATATCTTGGGAGCTTTTCTTCCTTATTCCTGGATATTTGGGAGTTAGTGGAAAACTTCAAGCATTATTCCTGGATATTTGGGAGTTGGTGGAAAACTTCAAGGAATAGCAGCCAAATTTAATACTCCCTTTACTAGGGTGAAATGTGTTTCATGTACTGTGATGGAAAAAAACCCAGACCAGACATTAGCAGGCTGTGTCCCTGCCATATACCTGCTGTGTGACTTTGAGCAAGTTGCTTTCCCTCTCTGGGCCTCTGTTTCCTCTGTTATGAACTGGGGGCGGGGGGAAGCTAACATCCACTGAATTCTTTTATCCATCCAACAAATCTATGGCATTGTCGCCTTTATTAGTCCCATTTTACAGATGAGGAAACTGAGAGATGGAGAAGGCAAGTAACTTGGCCATAGTCGCAGAGCTAGGAAGTTGTGGAGGCAGGAGGCGAATCGAGGCAGTCTAACTCCAGAGCCCAAGCTCTTAATCACCATGCTATGTTGCCCACCTGCCTTCTTTGCTTTCATGTTGTAAAGTGATATAGTAAAATAGTCAGCAATGTAAGAGGATATATAATAAGAACTGTCTCCCTGGCAATTCTACTTCTAGGATGCTATCCCACAGATCTTGCACAAGGAAAAAAAACGACATGTCCACAAGGAGATTTACTGAAGCACAGGACTGGAAGCAGCTCCACCGACTGGGGACTGGTCGAATGGATGGGGGCATGGACAGGACACTCCGCAGTGTGAAAAGGAAGGGGGTTCTGCATGGAAGATCTGAACAAGAGGTGCAGGGCAGTGTTTTTGTATCCGTATCTACTACTGTGTAAAATAAAGGAGGGGCAGATGTATTTGCTTATGTAAGTATAACACATTTGGGAAGACTCACAAGAAACTGGTTGCTTCTGGGAAGAGGAAGTGGCTGGTTGAAGGCAGGGTGGGAGGGACTCTTCACACTGAATTCTATATCCTTCCCCAACCATTTGCCTTTTGAAACATTTGAAAATATTGCCTATTTCAGGAGGGGGTGGGAGAAAGTTAGATTCCATTCCATCCTGATTCCCACCTCTGTTAATAGCATTCTGTTGCAAACACACCCCCGTGAAGGCACTATAAGGGCTAATATGTGTATTTAGATCAATGGTTCCCAAGATGGGTTCCTGGATCAGCAGTGTCACACCCCCCTTACCGGAGAACTTGCTAGAAATGCACATTCAGAAACAGACAGCGAGGTCCAGAAACCACGTGGTCAGCCAGTTCTCCAGGTGATGCTGATGCCTACTCAAATTCCAGAACCACCCATTTAGGTTCTGGCCTTGTTTGCAAATGATAACCCACTATACAAGGTCAGCAGCCTGCCTTTACCACTTAGCAATTATGTTGCCTTTGAGGAATAATACCAGCCAATCCAAGGCTGCTATAAGGACCACATGAGGTGACACTGGGATTCTGTAAGTCTTCAGATCCTGGAGTGGAGAAAAAGAACATGGAATGCCCCAGGAAAAAGTCCAGGAGGAGAGAGAAGCTGCTAAGACCCCTTATGGTGTGTAGTTTCATGATCACGAAGAAGGTGGTGGTTTTATGATGGGAAAAGCCTAGCCAGTTTAATTTTTAACAGAAAGCATCCCAAAGCCACAGTATCATCTAGCTCGAGGGAGGCGGCAGAGGGGGTAAAACAGTGGGGACTGGCTGGCTTTTAATGGGTTATATCATTACCCCCTGGTGCAGTCATTATTTTACTCATCAGCCTTTCCCACCATGCTACAAACATCTCCACGGGGAGTCCCAGCTAAGTCATCTTGTATCCCAGAAATAGGGCCAAAGATACAGAAGCGATTGAACAGGTATCTATTGGATGGTTGGACGGTTGGATGGTTGGATGGATGGATGGATGGATGAATGATTGAGATATATTTTCAGAGAGTCAGGCTCGACACAAAGAAGAACTTATAGCCAAGAATGACGGGTTACAGGGAGGTTCTTGAGGGTAGGGCTATGTCTTATTCTCAGTCTCTGCCTAGCACAGGGCTTGGTGGGTTGTAGGCACATGTTTGCTGAATGAATCAAGTGAGAGATGACTGGCCAGGTGTGAGCCACCTCACCTCTCCAAAGACCCCTCTTGGTGTGACCATATGCTTCATTCGACAAACACTTATTGAGCACCTACCGCAGGCCAACCTGGGCAGAGGCGCAGCAGACAAAGTCCCTGCTCTTGTGAGCGCTCAGCCTTCTGGGGCAGACAGACAATGCATATGTGAACAACCAAAGAAAGAAGGTTGTTTTTTGCTAGTGAGAAGTGTTCAGAAGGGAACAAGCCAGGTTTCCACAAGAGAGACTCACAGAGGAGATCTATTTAGATAGGGTGGTCAGGGAAGTCCTCTCTGAGACCCAAAGGGTGACAGGAGTCAGTCAAACCAAGAGCCTTAGGAAGAGCGAGCCAGGCAGGGCAGACACTGTTGCAAAGATCCTGAGACAGGAACAAGGCTGGCTTTGTTCATGCTCCCTCTGGAAGGCAGGAAATGGAATACTCACTCCTCTGTCTCCAGAGAGTCAACACGGGCGACATAGTTGCTCGGGATGTAGCCCTCTTTCCGGGTGGCCAGGGATCGAGCCTTCCACCACTCCCCAGACCTGATGGACAGGAGGAAGTAAAGGCATCATGTGGCAGAAGGACCATTCTCTAGTCCCCTCGAGCCTCCCAGACTTGCCTCGGAACTCCCTGACCCCCAGGAAGTCACTAAGGAAAGGGGCAGTCCTGGCCCCTGGTGTTGCCCCATGCTTAGATAGGGATCTTTACAACTGTCCCCACTGGGCATACTAGAGTCTGGAACCAAGCCCTGTCCCTGAACTCACAGCCCAAGCCCTGGGCCCTTGGGCCCACTCTTCTTCCCCTGGACTTGCAGATTTGGCCTTACTAGCCATTCCCAAGGCAGGTCCCTGTGTCCATATGAGACTCAGAGAGGCTCAGCTGGGGCTGAGAGCAGGAGAAGTGGGCTCAAGCATCTGATCAACGTGACCACTCCCATGCTTGGTCCCCAGAACATCGTGAACACTACACCCACTGTTGAGGAGGGCTGTAGGAGATCGGAGGTGACATAGTCAGAGACCCAAGGACTTCTAAATGCAGAGTCACTTCAGTAGGGCCTGCTCCACAGGTAGCTTAATCACGGGAGCCTTAGGAAGGCTTCCTTAAAGGTGCTTTCTCCTGTCCTTCCAGGTCTGGACATGCACCATTAGTGAGCATACAGTCCCCTTTACTGTAGCTGTCATCTGGGTTGGCAGCAAGCCCTTTCTCCTCTATTATGATCAAGTTCATCAACCATCCACACCCAGGATAAGAGAGTATCAGGTTCTGTACTGAAGCAGGAGAGAGAGCACGACTGAGAGTTGAAGGTAGGTATGTCTTAGGGGGACTTACTCCTCCAGGACCACCATCTTGTCCCCTTTCTGGAAGCTGAGGTCTTCATGGTGAATGGCCTCGTAATCGTACAGGGCGACCACGACGATTTCCTCAGAGCCTGCTGAGAAGGGAGGCACGTGGCATGGAAGCTTTATCCAAGCATGCCACAGCCCAGGAAGTTTCCCAACCCAGTACCCGACGTCCAGCTCTGGACCCACTGATATGTTCAGTCTAAGTCAGCATCTTCCCGTGCTGCCTGCGATTCTAGAGTTGAAAGCAATCAGTGTTTGTTTATGTTACTAAACAGTGTTATAGAAACACAGTAGCCTGTGTGAAGGACGTCAGGGGCAGTTCAGGGGATTTTCAAGGGTGATTTTGACTGGGATTATCACCTCCAGCTCTGATCCAGAATCTAACCTAATCCTGAACATAACACACAGTTCCACGACTTGTTAGATACTTACCCTCCATAGACCCTGGCGGGTTGCCATTGTAGCTGTTAGGCCCCTGTGGGGAAGAAAAGGGAGAAGGGAATGAATTTGGCAGAGTATTTATTGAAAAGGACATCAAAGAGGATCTTACTCCAGTCCTGTGTGTCATAGGAGGTGTCCCAGAGAGACCTGGGGACGTGCCTGATATCACACAGCACATTAAGGTCAGAGCCAGCAGATCGCTTTTTTAAGTTTTGTATATTAACTCATCTATCGCAGATCCTAAGTATTTTTTTTTTAATTTTGGACTAATCTGAGGGTACAAAGAATTAGGCTACAATGTTTGCATTTGTTAGGAATAGTCCCTGTTGTAGTTGTGTCCCTACCCCCAGAGGTGTGCCATATACCCACACATTGTGCCCATTAAGTGGGAATGTACCAATCCCTCTCCCTCCTCCCCTCTCCTCCCTCCTTCTTTTCCCCATCTTTATTGAATTGAGCTTTTTTTTCCCTTGTGTAGAGCCAGCAGAATTCTTTTTTTTTTTTTTTGTAGAGACAGAGTCTTACTTTATGGCCCTCAGTAGAGTGCTGTGGCATCACAGCTCACAGCAACCTCCAACTCCTGGGCTTAGGCCATTCTCCTGCCTCAGCCTCCCGAGTAGCTGGGACCAGAGGCGCCCGCCACAACGCCTGGCTATTTTTTGTTGCAGTTTGGCTGGGGCCGGGTTTGAACCCACCACCCTTGGTATGTGGGGCTGGCGCCCTACCCACTGAGCTACAGGTGCCACCCAGCCAGCAAATTTCTTGAGTTGTGGCCTCTGCCTTTGGTCTTGGACATACTGGGGGATGTTGCTTGGCTCTTCCCCTCAACATGAAGGGGTTGGTCCAGACCTGTATTTTTCAAGGTATGTTTGAATAAATTGCAGGTCTACCAACATATCCCATCATGTATATGTTTGTTTGTTTTGGCAGTTTTTTGGCTGGGGCCAGGTTTGAACCTGCCACCTCTGGTATATAGGACCATTGCCCTACTCCACAGGCGCCATCCCCTATCATGTATATGAAACAATCTAAGTGTTCATCCAAAGGGGAATGGGCACCTTGACTGTGGTGCTCCATGTAGAATTTATAAGAGGGAGGCCAAGGCTCATTACTTGATATCACTTGACCTCATAGATACTTTGTTGAGTGAAAAAAAGCTAGTCCTGCAGAATGATAAACACTATGCCAATATAAAGTACACATACCCACTTCCTAAATGTTCCCTGTGGACACATCCTAGATGCATGTGCAGGTAGATTCATGGAAAAAGGTTTGCAAGGGTCCACACCAGTGAAACCTCTGCGGTGTGACACGTCTCAGGAGGGAAGCATTGGTCAGTAGACACTGGAACTTTACCTCTCTCATTTGTGATTTTTTTTTATTTTTAAGAAGCAGGTACTTGTGTGTTACATATATAAGGAGACATTAATTTGAAGGAACAGGTTTAGGAAACACTGAGGAAATATCATATTTGGGGAGATTCCCAAAGTCCATTCTAAAGATTCACAGAGGCCCTGAGGAGTCCTGCAGGGGAGCAGCCAGTTTCACCCAGTGTCTGTCAAACTAACATGGCCTGCGAGCCCTGTCTCTGAGGAAGACTTTACTGGCTAAAGTCCTGTAGGAAGAGAATGATAAATGACTACATCCCTCAAATCTGATGTTTGAAAGGACGACCAGAAACTGGTGGGAGAAACCCTCTGCCTTCTGCTGGTGAAAAGCCAGAGGACCTCAGAGAACCCGAGAACCTAAAGCCCTCACTGAGAAGGGGCTCAGAGTCACATAGGTTAGGAAAGGAGCAGAATTGGGAATGACTTAGCATTACAGTCTGTGCTCAGCTTAGGGAGTACCAGTATGAGAAGTTCATGTAATTTCAGGCTGCATTAATAGAGGTTGAGTGTCAGAGGGAGGGAGGTGATCATTCCTTATTCTTCTATTCCCATAATTAATCCTGTTTTAGTCATCATGCCCAGAGAAGGGCAAGCAGAGAGAGAGAGAGAGAGAGAGAGGCCAGGAACGCAGGACCTGTGAAAGATGATTCGGAAGGGATGGATGGGCTGGGATAAGACCTTTGCCTTCAATCTCCAGATGCTGTCACAGGGCAAAGGGAGTGGGTGTGTTTGGGATCAAGGAGTGTCATGGGGAATAGGCCTTCCTTCTATTAGGAAGAATGGAAAGTTCTAAGGAAAGCAGAGCACCCCTGCCACAGGGGCTGTGCTCCCCTAGACCACCTCAGATAGAGGATGGACAAAAGGGCCACAGAGGAGAAGAACGGCAAGTCTGGGTTAGAGGGACCCCACTCCACTGCTTGCCCAACCTTATTTCTTTTCTGTCTCACACTGGAAGAATAAAAGTTGACTTGGGCTACACAGTAAATAAATACACACACACTAATGAAAACTGATGAACAAAGGGAAAAAAAATGTCTATGCCCATGCATTCTTTTCCTGATATCTGACACCACAGAGAAGCAAAATGGTCCTCAAATAATCTGCGTGTGGCCCATGAGCCACAGTGGGACATCCTTGTCTTAGCGCCTTAGTCACCCTGTAAAGTGGCATAACTCCTGCCTTACACCTGGATGAGGAGTAATGATATAGAAACATCCCACTCCAGTGCCTGGGCCATAGTAGCTATTCAAAGAACAGTAAGGATGGTGGCTCATGCCTGTAATCCTAGCCCTTTGGGAGGCTGAGGCAGGAGCACTTCTTGACTCCAGGAGGACAAGACCAGCCTGAGCAACATAGCAAGACCTCATTTCTATGAGAAAGAAAGAAAAAACAAAACAAAACAAAACACCTCAATGCCCACTATCTGTGTGATAGGCACACTTATAACTTTGACTCAAACTGTACAGAAGCAATTTATGTGATGAAACATTTGTACTCCTGCAATATTCTGAAATTTAAAAAAGCCCCTAAACCTTAGACGGCAGCTTAAAAATAACAAATAAAATAAAATTAAATAAAAATTAGCGGGGCATGGTGGTACACACCTATAGTCCCACCTACTTAGGAGGCTGAGGCCGGAGGACTCCTTGAGACCAGGAATTCAAGGTTACAATGAGCTATGATCAAGCCACCACACTTCAGCTCTGGATGACAGAGAAAGCCCTGTCTCTCAAAAAAAAAAAATTAAAAAATATTAAAAACAATTATACAGGCAGTGTGTCTCCACTGGAACCTGGGTCTTGCACTAGAAGTGGGCCTGTGTGGCCCCCTTGTCCTGTTCACCAAGTATCCACCCCAGACAAGTCTTCCCCTACACTTCTGCCCCGGCCTGAGGCCTGCAATGCTCACTTAACCTGGTTGTGGGGCCCAGGCTGACAGACCAAAGCCTGGACTGCAGAAGAAGGAAAAGCAACTTCCTGTTCTGGGTGCGTCCTAGAGTTGTAGCCTGGAGGGTCAGGGCACGACTGATGGCCACTGCCCAGCCTCAGGAAGATAAGAGGCTGTTGAGGCAATGTTGGTGCAGCCCTGGGCAGCCCCCTGGAACACCAGACTCCTCCCCTACTCACCAGCTTGGCCACAGATGGAAGATCCTGTGTGCCCACAGGGCTGTGTGGGTTGGCGCTGGACTCAGTTTTCGAGCTCTTGCCTCCATTCCGTAGGAACCTGGACTTCACGCACCCCATCCTGTTGCAGACAGAGGGAGGTGAGCCTGGGCTGCCCAGAGCCCAGGCAAGTCCTCTGATGCTGGGCTTCCTGCTCCCGCCCTGGGCTGACTCCCGCCCTGGGCTGACTCCCGCTGGCCTTCCCTGTCTTAACTCGCCTGCCAGCCCCACTCTTCCCACTCTGCCCACGGAGCCCACTCTGCCCTTGCCATCTCTGGGCCTCCCCACGTCCATGTCTGCCATGCTCCGCCCAGAGCTGACCAGTTGTCATTGTCTTCATAGTTGTGAGAACCAAGGACCAACGTGATGAGGGAGTTTATTCAGAGAATAAGTCATGACCATAGTAGAAATGTACCAGGTAGAGGCCGCCGTGGGGCAGTGTGGTTGGTGCCTCCAGCTCTTGGGTCTGAAAGCCTGAGCTGTTCCTTGGCCCTGCTACGCCCCCCCCCCCCCCCGCACCTCACTGGCCACATTCCCACCCCACCCCCAGTCTCACTTCCTCATCAGCAAAATGGGGATAAGAAACCCACTCCCAGCGTGTTGGAAGGATGAGAAAGGATGTGGGTGGGGAAACAGCACAGTTCGAGGCTCAGAGCAAACAGGACAGAAAAAAGATACTATTATTATATAATAGATCGCCATTTTATTAACATATTAAATGACAAAGACGAAGTCACATAACACAGCTCAGATAACCTAGCTAAATAACAGTCAAGGCACCACATTCCTCAAAGCATTTTATTTTATTTATTATTATTATTTTTTATTTTTTGTAGTTTTTGGTCGGGGCTGGGTTTGAACCCACCACCTCCGGTATATGGGGCCAGCGCCCTACTCCTTTGAGCCACAGGTGCCGCCCATTATCATTATTATCATTATTATTATCATCATTATTTGAGGCAGTCTCACTATGTCACCCTTGGTAGAGTGCCGTGGTGTCACAGCTCATAGCAACCTCAAACTCTTGGGCTTGAGCGATTCTCTTGCCTCAGCTTCCCACATAGCTGGAACTATAGGTGCCTGCTGCAACACTTGGCTATTTTTTGTTGCAGTTATCGTTGTTTAGCTGGCCTGGGCTGAGTTAGAACCCACCAGCCTTGGTGCATGTGGCTGGCGCTGTAAATACTGTGCTACAGTTGCCGAGCCCCTCAAAGCATTTTATAATTGGATGCCTTCCTTCCTTCCTTCCTTCCTTCATTCATTCATTCCTTCCCTCTCTCTTTCCTCCCTTCCCCCCTCCTTCCCTCCCTCCTCCCTCCCTTCCTCCTCCTCCTTCTCTCTTTCTCTGATTCATTTGGCCATTCATTCATTTACTCAGCAAACACTGACCGAGATCTTTTCTAAACTGTGAATAAGACAAGCAAGTTCATGACCTTCTGATGCTCAGCTGGAGATAAGTGGCAGATACAGACAAAAAACAGGTAAACAACTGAATAACACCACAGGATTTAGTTAGTGCAAAGTGTGAGGACAATAAAAGAAGGGACAATAAAAGAAGGCTTTATGGGGAGCAACAGTCCTGGGGCCCCTTGAGATAGGGTGGTTGGGGAAGGCCTGTTTGAGGAGATGAGACTGGACCTGGTGTCTGAATAATACAAGGGAGCCAGTCATCTGACACTCTGAGGGAAGAGTGTGCCAGGCAGAGGGAACAGCAAGTGCAAAAGCCTGAGGCTGGAATGTGCTTGGAGAGAAGGCAGCACAGAGGAGGTCAGGTCAGGCACGGTGGCTCACACCTATAATCCTAGCACTCTGGAAGGCTGAGACAGGTGGATTGCTTGAGCTCGCAAGTTTAAGAGTAGCCTGAGCAAGAGTGAGACCCTCGTCTCTACTAAAAATAGAAAGCTGAGGCAAGAGGATTGCTTGAGTCTAAGAGTTGGAGGTTGCTGTGAGCTATGACTCTGTGGTACTCTACCCAGGACAACGGTTTGAGATTCTGTCTTTTAAGAAAAAAAAAAAAAAGAAGAAGAAGAAGATGAAGAAGGCAAGCCAGTGTGGCTGGAGCTCATAGACAGGGGCCAGGAGATTGTGTGATGAGGTTACCACATCTTGTGGGGCCAGCCACGAATTCAGATGTCATTGAAGGATGATGGAAAATCACAGAAACTTTTTGGTAGCAGAAGGATGGGATTCAATGCATACTTTAAATAATCCCATCAGTTGCTGGGTAAAGTACGGACTGTAGAACAAGGCAGGGGACCCCTTGAAAGTCTGATGCAGATGTCCAGGCAGGAGATGATGGTGGCCTGGGCCAGAGAGGTGACAGTAGAGGAGGGAAGAAGTGGGCAGGTTTGGGGCTGGGTGTGGAGGCTCATGCCTGTAATCCTGGCACTCTGGGAGGCTGAGGTCGGAAAATTGCTTGCAGTCAGGAGTTGGAGACCAGCCTGAGCAAGGGTCTCTACAAAAAATAGAAAAATTTGCCAGCTGTCGTGGTGGACTCTTGTAGTCCCACCTACTCGGGAGGCTGAGGCAGGAGGATCACTTGAGCCCAGAAGCTTGAGGTTGCAATGAGAGCTATGATAATGCCATGACACTCTGGCCCAGGCTACAGAGCAAGATAAACAAACAAACAAGAAGTGGACAGATTTGGGGAACATTTTGGAGGTAGAGCTCCTATATTCATTTAATCTAAAGATCCTTGAAGAAAACAGGTTTACTCGAGTAGAGTCTATACTTCATTGTACAAGTGGTAGAAATGTTTCATTTCTTTCTCAAAATGTGCACATGTGTTTGTTGCCATAGCCACATAAGGAAATGATGGCTTCCCTCATTTCTGTACCCCCGCCATTTTCTTCCAAGGCAGTCAGAACTCAGTTATACTTATCTTGTTAAAAAACATGTGTTTGTGGTTTAGGAAAAAAAAAAACAACTCAAATTCCTAGGATTAGGGTAGTTACTCTTTAGAAAATGAAAAAAAGTTTCCTTTTATTTACAAGACTCTGTCTGTCCTGGTGGGAATTGGGAAAGATTTTCCACTTCAAGACTTGAGCGGTCTTGCTTCCTTTGCCTTTGGTGAAGAAAGGGAGGAAGGAACACATTCGGACTCTAGGGATGCTGGATCATGAATTTGAAAAATTAGCACCATTAATCACTGTTTTATAATGGTGTACATTTCAAACTGAAGCCAATATCTCTCTTTGATTTGTGATCAATAGGTATTACAGTTCCGGGAAATTAAACAGCACCTGGTGTGGTTCTGTCTGACCTTAATTGTATCACATTTCATGTATTTTGTTCAATATAAGGATGTTCTGGGGGAGAGCACTGCTGTGTGAGATAGGGCATCTCTCTTCACCTCTCTGAGCAGTCATGGAATTGCAGCTGTGAGCATCATGATTCCTGATCCCGTACAGATTGAGCACACAGTAAGTATCATTTATATTATCAATTTACATTTTCATGATAGCCCCGGGGCCCTGAGGGATGGGTCTCAGAAGGCCTTGTGGTCATTCACAATCCAAGGCCACCTCTGAGAAAAGGTGGTCGGGGTGCTACCCCCAGGATAGGGGTGGGCATTAGTGAGCTGATGAGTGGGAGAGTCCCCAGCCATTTCTGTGTACTAGCAAACATGGCACCACCCTATCGCAGAAAGCAAGCCATTGGCATGCAATTCCTTTGGCCCACAAACTTAGAGATACTGTGACACTGGAGAAGGTAACTTTTTAGAATAGGGAATTCCCATTAGTTCCATTTTGGTACAACAAAGTGTGGTTTTTAAAAGTGATATACCAGCAAGAGTCAAATTTGTGTTAAATGTGACTCTCTCCCTAAATCAAGAAAACATGCATCAGAAACATCTATTCTCATGTTCACTACACCCAGACGTGTCGTGTAAGCCACATGCATAATTTAAAATGATCTACAGCCATGTTTTTAAAAGTCACAAGAAACAAGTGAATTAATTTTAAAATGTATTTATTTTACCTAATAAGGCAAAATTATTACCATGAATTAAACATAAAAAAATTGTTTGTGAGATACTTTACATTCCTCTTTTTTTTTAAACTAAGTTTTCAAGTCTCGATGTATGTTTTATGCATATAGCACATGCCAGTCCCCACTCAACAGCTGTCTGTGCCTCAACGTTACTGTATCAGACTGTGCAATACAGAACGTTTCCATCACTGCAGCACAGTAAAGGCTGGTCCTGCTCGCGTCTGTGTCCCTCAGTGCCTACCTGGCACACAGTAGGAGGGTTATGCACAGGGAGTGAATGAATGTGTGCCCAGAGCGCCATGCTTTACGCAATAGAAAGTAAAAATGTCAGGACATGGCACCTGCTCTAGAACCAAGTCGAGAAGGGAAGACTGGCTGCGTAGAATTCTCTTCCAAAGCCACGTACAATGAAGCTATTAGGAGAGACAGAAAGTAGAGTGGTGGTTGCCAGGGTCAGAGGCAAGAGGAGAATAGAAAGTTATTGTCCAGTAGGTACAGAGTTTCTGATGAGAAGAGTTATGGACATGGACGATAGTGATTGTTGCACAACATTATAAATATTTAATACCACTGAACAGTACACTTAAACAAATGTTAAAGATGGTAAAATTTAGGGATACTTTACCACAAGAAAAAATGGGGACAAAAGAAGCTATTAGAGAGTAGCAAAGATAGTAGAAGCCATGCAAAGATGGCTAAGGTCTTTACTGGGTGAAAAAAACAGCTGCAAAATATGTACAATATGAAACCACTCTTGTAAATGAATCTATGTGTGCACACGTGTGTTAGTATGTTCATAGAAAAAGCAACCTGTTTCTAACAATTTAGCAGTAGGATAATATGTTGAGCTGTAAAAAGCAGGGAAGATTTCAAAAGATAAAGATTTGGAGAAAGTCAAGACTATTCCAAAGAAGAACTGACTTCCAAAAAGGATTTGAGTGGGCTTATGATGTTAAACCACTTCAGGACTCAAAAAGTGGGTGGCGCTTGTAGCTCAGTGGGTAGGGCACCGGCCACATACACCGAGACTGGCAAGTTTGAACCCGGCTGGGACCAGCTAAAACAACAATGACAACTGCAACAACAACC